GCGGTCTGACCAGCGCCCGATAGAGGGGAAGTATCACCTCCTTGGACCTATTCATCATGCATCTGCTGATGCACGATAAAGTGCCATTGGCTTTTCTGATGGCTTCGTCACACTGCCGACTCATGTTCATCTTGGAGTCCACTCGGACTCCCAGATCCCTTTCCACTTCCGTGCCACCCAGCAGGTCATTCCCTAGGCTACTGGCATCCTGGGCTGCATGGGTAGAAGTGTTGCCAGCAGATGGAGGGACGTGATTTTTCCCCTCAGCACTGGGGAGGCCACATCTGGAGTCCTGTGTCCAGCTGTGGCCCCCACTACAGAAAGGATGGGGACACATTGGAGAGAGTCCAGCGGAGGGCAATGGAAATGGTTGTGGGCTGGGGGACAGGACTGGTGAGGAGAGGCCGAGGGAACTGGGCTGATTTAGTCTGGAGAAGAGAAGACCGAGGGGGATTGAATAGCAGCCTTCACCTCCCTGCAGGGGGGCTGCAAAGAGGACGGAGCTGGGCTGGTCTCAGTGGGGGCAGGTACAGGACAAGGAGCAATGGGCTCAGGCTGCAGCAAGGGAAGTTGAGGTTGGATATTAGGAAATAGTTTCTCATGAGGGGGGTGGTTAAGCCCTGGAAACGGGGATGTGGTGCAGTCTCCATCCTTGGAGGTGTTTAAGACTTAGGTAGACAAAGTCTTGTCTGGGATGATGTAGTTGGGGCTGGTCCTGCCTGGAGCAGGAGGTTGGACTAGATGGGACCCCTGTCCAGCCCCAGTTGTTTGACTCTGTGACCTGGCGCGGGTGCTAGATGCTGTGGTCCTGTGCCGGGAGGACAGTGGGTGTTCTCGCACCCAGCTCTGAGGCCCAGAGCTGCTGGGATGCCGCATGCCCTGGGGCTGAGCCTGTGTCTGTCCCAGTGCCCAGCAGCAGAGGCCCAGCCACCTCCTGCACCTGCCCCACCGGCTCCGTGTCGCTCGGGCACGTCACCCGCGATGGGCATCTGGACCAGTGGGCAGCAACGACTGCCTTGCAGGCCTGGATCTCGGTGTCCTTCTGGAGACGGCAGTGAATAAAGTTGTGCCAAAGCAGCTTGAGTTCGCACCAATGGGTTGGGGAGGTCCTTGACCACCTCCAGGGTCTTTCCCTCCGTGGTAAATTGGGCAGGGGGTCACACATGGCCTGGGGCAGCCTGATCAAGCGCTGTAGTCTCGGTGCTGAGAAAGAGGCCCGGAGCTGAGCAGGCTTCTCCCAAAAGGACCAGGGTGGTCTGGAGGTTTCCTCCATATGTGCACGTCCTTCACTGGTGGGACTCCTCGCTGCAGGAGGTCAACAAGGCCGGACAGGCTCGAGCAGGATCCGTCTATCGATGGCTGTTGAGCAGGACGGTCCCTTTGGCCTCTAGATCTGTAAGGGTGGGTGCCAGGGGGTATCGATCACGTAGAGAGGTCCGGTCTTATGCTCTCCCACTGCCGTCGGGCACGGGGCTGGATGAACCGTGGGTCATGCTCTTACGTCCCCGCGCGTGCTGCAGGAGGTGAAGCGGCATCCCGGCCATTTCCTGGATGGGGGAACTGAGTCGCAGGCCTGAGCCGGCGGCAGGCTGGCGTGGGGCTGGTTTGGGTTGGCTCGTGTCCCCGGGCACCAAATGTGCCGGAGGGAGGATGTCAAGGTCGCCCGCACTGTGATCCCTCCCGCCCAGACGTCTGGGGCTGCCTAGAGCCGTGGGTCTCAGCCCCCCAGGATAGACTGGAGCCCCTGGGGAAAGGCCGGCTCTCTGTCTCCACTCCTTTTTGGCCAGCCAAAAAAGATCAGTCGCTGGCCTGGTGCAAAGGGCTCTGGCCTAGGCAGCGCTGGTCTGTTCTGAGCCTGTGCCCATTCTACAGATGGGGAAACTGAGGCCCATGTTGCAGAGGCGGGAAGCCTGGCTTCTGGTGCGAGGGAAGGGAAGGGAAGGGAAGGGGAGGAGGAGGAGGAGGCGGGCCGCAGGGAGGAGCCGGGGCTGCAGCGGCGGCTGGAGGAGGGGGCAGCGGCGCGGCCCGGCTGCAGCATGGAGGAGCCCAGCACCACTGTGGCCGCGGGGAGGCGCCGGGGCTGGAGCGGCGGCTGGAGGAGGAGGCAGCGGCGCGGCCCGGCTGCAGCATGGAGGAGCCCAGCACCACGGGTGGGGGGGC